GATGTATTTGAAATGAGAAATGGGGTTTGGGGGTTATATATAGGCAATTGGATTGCCCAGGCATGCATATTCTAACACGTACGCGAATAGTGACTCCACCATGCAATGCAGCCACGTTAGCCACTGGGACACCTGCCGGCGCTGTGAGAGGACAATTGGATCTTGTTGCTGCATTATAGATAAGATAAGAGGTGTATATCATGTCATGTGTTAATAATATTCTTTGTCTTGGTGTTAAAAGCTCGTGACACTTGACCGCGTATGCACATGAACCTGTTTGACGATGGCTACCTCTCTGTAGACTGTAGCTGTTGAAAATTATTGGAACTTGTTGCCTTGTCATTTGACAAGTGGCGCTGTAAAGGTCGTTCGATTAGTCTTCAATTTATCCCAACATTGCTTAAATTGAAGGGTTTGTCCAATATAGACCTCTACATTTTCTATTTTCTAGACATATACCCATCACTCTATAAATCTATGTGTAAAATCCAATTTCAAATTTAAATGACCAGTAAGGATATAAGAAGTCGTAGTATTTCTATGTTTTTACATCGTTGCCACTAAACTTCATATTTTATTTCAAGCATTTCATTAACTACCATAATTGTAATTAATATACTCCCTATTAATAGCATATTAATCACCCCATTTCTTTTAGTTGTCATTCCCTCTCACATCTCGCCCACTAAAATTTATAGGTACATTATTTGGAGAGGAAAAATAGGTACATTATTGGAGGAAAAAATAGTTACGTTATTTGGAGAGAGAAAATAGGTTTATTTAAAAAAATTGCTTTTAATAAAACAAATAATAGGTACTTTATTCAAAGAAAAAAGGCTATATTATTTATAGAAAAAAATAGGTACATTAATTAGATAAATAATAGGTACTTTATTCGTAGTAGGTATATTATTCAAATGGTAGGTACATTGGATGACATATAATACCTAAATCCTAATTGTAAGTACATTAAAATTAATGTAGGTATATTGGATGTCGTATAATGTAGGTATATTGGAATAGATAATTGTGTACACTTTTCATACTAGGTAAATTATATTTTTCATAAAACAAACAAGTAATAGGTACATTATTTTTTCAACATAATCAGTATGTATAGTTTTATTCATAAACAATTATAAAGTGGATTATTAGTCATGTATAATTCATAAAAAGAAAATAACATAAACATTTTATTAAACAAACCGATTATCCAAATTTGAATTTATTTCAAAATTAATTCTTACATCCATTACAACCATTTGGAGATCTTTCCAAATTCAACGTTTGTCATTATATACAATCCAATTAAAAACTATTTCCATATTGATTCCTACATTAATATACAAAATGCAATAATGGCTTAGTTAGGGGTATTTTTGGAATCTAAAAATACAATAAATTAAATTTTATACTTAATTAGGTAACTTGCTGAGTTAGATACTAGTCATGAGTTTTTACTTATACAAATTGGGTATTATTTATAGGAACAAAAAGTGAAGAGTTTTAAGTAGGGTGTAAGCCAAATTTATTGTAAATTGAATTACTTTTTTTATTTTGGGGGGCAAAGTTGTACTTTACTAAACAAATACCAAAGAGTCAAGAGAACAAACAAACCGAGACCAAGCAACCAGTCGACGGCAACCAAACAAACAGCAAGAAAAAACAAAACTCTGACAAAGCGGGAACAAGAAGATAAGGCCAAAAAAGCCAACTTCTTCACTCAGAAGATAGCGGAGGGCAAGGCAGTCCATCAAACGTTAAAGGATAGCTATGAAGTTGTAGCTTGTGATATTGCTGCAACAGCTTAAAGCAAGGTTTTGACGGGCCACCACCAGAGTCACAAGATCTCTTGGCATTTCGAACACTTGACTTTTTCAAGGGGCAGGTGCAGAAAGTAGAGCCTTTGGGTTCCTTTTTTCCAGAAAATTTGATTTTCAACCCTTGGATAAGATTTCATTTAAACTAAACCCTATTTGATCACAAAAATAATAATAATAATAATATATGTGAATTGAGATTTATACTTGAAAGCAGCAGAGAATAAATAGTTACAGAAGCAAAACACTGTACTCAGAAGAGCACATTTATATTAACACAAACGACATCCAAATATTACAAAATACGACATTGTACAATGCTCGGCGGTCACAGACCAACAACAAGCACCGATTTATTATACACAGCAGCACAGCAGATAATTATCTGATAGGAAATTCGAATAATGATCCATCCCATCTAGTTGTTGTGACCAGGAAGCTTGTCTTTGATTTTCTCAATCAAGCCCTTCTTCTCATGGAGCTGGGGCTCTCCGACCCCACCGTGAGCTGCACTGGTTGGCTTGGTTGGGTGGGTGTCATGAGAGTACTGGTCATCCTTATGTCCACCTGGCAGCTTCTCCTTCACTTTCTCCGCTACACCCTTCTTCTCCCGGGTCTCTACTGTGCCCGCGACCCCACCCCCACCGTAAGGTCCAGTGGTTGGGTGCACATTTTGCCCACCTGGCAGCTTCTCCTTAACTTGGCTGATTACACCCTTCTTCTCCCGGGTATCATCTCCTGTGTGCCCAGCCCCACCGTAAGCTCCAGTGGTTGGGTGGGTGTCATGAGAGTAATGGTCATCCCTTTGCCCACCTGGCAGCTTGTCCTTAACTTGACCTATTATACCCTTCTTCTCCTGGTGCTCTCCTCCTGTGTAGCCAGCCCCACCGTAAGCTGCAGTGGTTGGGTGGGTGTCATGAGAGTACTGATCATCCCTTTGCCCACCTGGCAGCTTGTCCTTCACTTGGCCTATTATACCCTTCTTCTCCTGGTGCTCTCCTCCTGTGTAGCCAGCCCCACCGTAAGCTCCAGTAGTTGGGTGGGTGTCATGAGAGTAATGGTCATCCTTCTGCCCACCTGACAGCTTGTCCTTTGCTTGGCCTATTATACCCTTCTTCTCCTGGTGCTCTCCTCCTGTGTAGCCGGTCTCACCGTAAGCTCCAGTAGTTGGGTGGGTGTCACGACAGTACTGGTCATCCTTTTGCCCACCTGGCAGCTTGTCCTTGACTTGGCCTATTATACCCTTCTTCTCCTGGTGCTCTCCTCCTGTGTAGCCTGCCCCACCGTAAGCTCCAGTGGTTGTCTGGGTGTCATGAGAGTACCGGCCATCCTTGTTCCCACCTGGTAGCTTGTCCTGGAGTTGGCCTAGTAAACCCTTCTTCTCCTGGTGCTCTCCTTCTGTGTACCCGTCCCCACCGTAACCTCCAGTGGTTGTCTGGGTGTCACGAGAGTACTGGTCATCCTTGGAATGAAGCACAGCAGGGACGCCGTGATGCTCAACAACACCAGGTTTTGTATGAGTGGCGTACCCTGCACCAGTTCCGTACCCGGTGTCCGCCACACCGTGCTGAACC